TGTCTGCCTCTCCCATACACACATTTGCTGACTGGGGTCTGGTTATCTTCAAGGCTGCTCTCCTTTCTAACAATCAGTGAACCATGTCTGACAAGCTGTCGGTTCCTTGGGGCAGCGGCTATACCTTGTTCATTCCTATGTGCCCCTTGGCTACCAGCACAGCTCTTGAACACAGTAGGTGCTCAAACCATATTTGGGGGATTAATTTGTTCACACCAGCTCAGCCTCCATGCTCTGCTGCTTGCACAGTATGGGGGTCATTTACAACTTATAAAAGAAACGGAGGGAATATGTATTATATGGCCCCTCCCTGTGCAGTCAGAGCTGTCTCCCACAGCAGGGCTGGTGCCTGCCCTGAAATTCACTCTTGAAGCACGGATGAGAGCTGGGTAGACAACGGAGCCAGCACCACAGGTGTCACCTCTTCCATACCAGGCTTAGACCAGGCTTAGACCAGGATTAGACCTTCCGCACGAGGTTAGACACACACACACACACACACACACACACACACACACACACGGAATGCCCTGCCCTAGCTAGTCCCAGGGAGGAGAGTAGATGGAGGCAGCAGGGAGGTTTCTGTCCGTGGTGCTGAACTCACCTCAACCCCACTTCGTCCTCTAACCCAGCGGCAATTTATAGCCTCCTGGGGAACCAGGAAAACATACAGACTCCCTAGCCCTTTATTTGGAGGTTTGGATTCTGAGGATCTAATATGGGGCTCTGGGATCCCTCCGTACCAGCCACCCGAATTTTAATGCAACCACCTTGATATTGGCCTAAAATTGACTCATTCATCTAAATGGTCACTGGTCTTCGTGTTGTGCCTGCTATGTGCCCGGTACTGAGAAGGGAAATGCATCTAGCAGAGCCTCTGCTCTGGGAGAAATTTGCAAAGTCATTCATGAAGAGGTGTCGGAGTCAAGGAGGAAAAGAGGTCCCTCTGCTTTACGTGGACACCATGCTAGGCACAGACTTCACTTTCATCCTGCGAGATGAGATAAGTAGACAACAGAAAACAGTATTACCCATAACCATAACCAGCATTGGTCCCTTTCATTAGGGTCTCCCTAGTCCTGTCTGCAAGGTAGTGCATGACACATGCTGCTCCTTCTGATGGCCTCATGACTTAAGACCCAGATCCATCAACACCCACATCAAATCTTCCTGACCCCTGCTGCCTTGTAGGCCCCCCAGATTGTAGTCCTTCTTCCTTTTGCACCATGGTCTTGTTTCATCATCATCACCAGATACTCCAGGTTTTTAATATGTCCCGACTGGGATTTGAGCTCCCTCTTGAGGCTAGGTCCTGCATCTGTGTAAGCAACCTCTCACACAGAGATGTCTCCCCACACTCCCCCACCTCCCCCCACCCGGAGAAGATGAGCAGTAAATTCTTACTGGACGGATGACTGAGGGGGTGGTAAGTGGGTGGAGGAATGTGTCCAATGACCGTGCACAGGGAGAGTGCCACTGGGTTACAAAGCAGCCGGAACAAGTGCTCAGAACCAAAAGAATCAGGGTAGGCCTCAGGGAAGCCAGGCAATAGGCCAAATGTCATTTGGGCAGGGCCAGCTTCCGGTCAAGGTCTGCCTCTCCTTTCTCTGGCTGTTTGGGGGAGAACAGAAAATGGAACCAGACTGCGGTGTCTGATGAGAACAGATGTTATCTGGGCCTGAATGTGGGACATGGAGGAGGGGGTAAGGGAGGGAGAAAGAGAAGGGGGAGGGCCAGAGCCAACAAATGGAATAACCACCGACCCTCATTATTTTATTTTTTATTACGGAAATGTTCAAACACACCCCAAAGTACAGAGAATGCATTATGAACTCACATGTGTCCATCACCCAGCTTCCACAACCACCCCTATTTTGCTAGTCTTATTTCATTCCTCCCCTCAAGCTCCCTTTTAAAGAAAATTCCAGACATTATATCATTTCACCCATAAATATTTCAGAATATATCTCTTTTATGTGAGAACATTTCTTATTTAAAAAAAAGAACCTGGGGGCGCCTGGCTGATTGAGTCAGAAGAGCGTGCAATTCTTGATCTTGGGGTCATGAGTTCAAGCCCCACCTTAGGCATAGACACTACTTAAATAAATAAACCTTAAAAAAATCAAAGAGAATCTCAGTATCATTATCACACCTAGTAAAATTAACAATTTCTTTTTTTTTTTAGATTTCATTTATTTGAGAGACAGAGAGAAAGAACACAAGCAGGGCAGAGGGAGAAGAGGAAGCAGGCTCCCCACTGAGCAGGAAGCCCAATTTGGGGCTTGATCCTGGCACTCTGATATCATGACCTGAGCTGAAGGCAGACTTGTAACCGACAGAGCCACCCAGGTACCCCCAAATTAACAATTTCTTAATACCATCTAATATAAAGTCCATGGTCAAATTTCCTCACTTTTCTCAAAAATACCTTTTCTCGCCCATTTATTCAAACCAGGGTCTAAACAAGGTCCATGCGCTGCCTTCGGTTGCTCTGCCTCTCAAATCTCTTACAATCTCTAACGGTCCTTCCTTCCTGCCTTGTGTATGCCCTCTTATTTGCTGAAGAAACCATGTTCTTCATCCTATAGAGTGATCTCCTGTTGATGTGGTGGGCTGAACCTTCACGGGGCCATTGAACATGTTTCACCATCCCCCCATTTCCTGAAACTGGTATTTAGATCCAGAAAGTTGGCCTGCATAGGGTCAATGACTCAGGCAAGCGGACTTCCTGGGCAGTGCTGTGTCCTTCCTACTGCATTCCATCAGGAGCACGGAAGGTCAGGTTTTCCCTTTTGGGGTGATACTAAACATTGTCAGATTCCCCAAGCTGATCACCCATCTGGGGGAAACCAGCTGGACTTCCACCAGGGGAAACAAGGGGGCCAGTGTACCCATGAGCAGTGAGCAAGGAGGTTGGCTGCGGGGACACAGGTGAGATGGACCGCGGCCCAGCCCCAGATGGTAGAGGGGAGGGGATGGCCAGTCCAGCTCCCTGCCCGCCCCCCTTTTACCACTGAGAGAGGCCAGGGAGCGGCTCTTTATTTGGCAGGTAATACCTATGCCGGGAGATCTCTGTAGAGCATCTCCAAGCCGCACAGCACTCAACGTAGGAGTCACCGTGTCTATTTCACTGGTGGGGCCAGTGAATGGTGACGTAACCTGCCCAAGGGCATAGAGCCAGAGGTGGAGAGGAGAGCAGAACTCTCCTGACCCTTCAGAGTCAACCCATGCTGAGGTGACCACTGCAGAACCAAGTTGCCTGAAGCCTTCATTCTCTTACCTCTAAGTCCTATGACCTGGACCACGGGCCTTCTCCCTCTCTGTGCCTCAGTCTCCTAATCTGTCGAATGGGAATAATATCTGCCCCAGGGGCCCCTCAAGACCAATACAGCGTGGTCCAACCTTGTCCCTCTCCCCCACTCTGCCAGCCCTGCCTGTGGGGCCCACTTGGGTCACCTCGGTCCAGAGCGCAAGCAGCTTTATCCTCTCCCCTACAGACATGCAAAGGGTTAAATCCAGACACCCACCCACCCCCCTTCCTCCATCCCAATTCTGATCCTTGCTGACTCTGCTCCCCTCCCTGCCATAGCTATTCTGGGACAATGGAGGCAGCAGATGGCCCGAGTCCTGTTCCCTCCACCCGACCCCCAGGATCTGGGAACAACCCGCAAATCTGCTGCTGCTGTTTCTAAAAGCAGGCCGGCCGGCAGCCTTCCGCATACGGGGTGGAGAGGACAACAGCTGTGGAGCACACCCGTCCATCCCCCACCAGGGCTGCAGGGCCAGGGCTATCCCTACTCCGTTTGTGTCCCAAAAACCCAGCCTTAGCTTAGCCCAGAAAGAAAGGAGGCTTTGCAAGAGCCCAAGCACTTGACCGACTCTGCACTTGACCTGCTGCGTGACCACAAGCACATGGCAGTCCCTCTCTGGGCCTCAAATTCCCCTTTGAAAACCAGGCCCGAGGCTCCGGTGCTCTGTGGTTCCAGTCGTCCCAGAGTTACATGAAGGACAGGGTCCTCCAGGGGCTGGAGGGGGTGCATTCCAAGGAGCCCCCAGCCTTGGTTGCCTGGCTTAGAGCCCCACTATCCCTCAGGATCTCTTCTCTGTCCTCTCTCCTACCCCCAGCCCAGATCTCCATGGTGGCCCCAACATCCCACGTCACTGGGAAGGGCGCATGGGGAGAAGAGGTGTCCCATCCCTAAGGCTCCCCAACTTCAGCAGTGGCATTCCTGAACGTCTGCCATGACTGTTTACCTTCATTCAGGTGGGTCGTTGCGACCTGTGACCCTAAGCACGCTTGGATCGATTCACCTCCTATCCCAGCTGTCAGGCTGCCCCTTTCTCTGGCCCCAGAGGCTGACTCCCTCAGCTACGTCTGCACTCTGCCTCTCCCAGTTCTCTCGCTACCCCCAACCCAGGCTCCGGGGGCAGAGAATAGGAGAAGTAGCCCGCGGCATACTAGCGCCACATGGCGCACACCCAGTCACACGTGTCTACGCAGTACACACATGTGTGTGATGTGGGCACCCACACGTACATTCACCAAACGTGTGTCCTTATGCACAGACCTGTGTGGAAAGGGGACACACCACACCACACAGCCACGCACGCCCTCACACACCCTGGCTCTCCGTGACTCAGCACACGCTAGGAGCACTCACTGCTCATGGAAACCCTCCTTCTCCGTGCCAGGCCGGGCTGAGCCCTTCACGAACACTCTGTCGTTTCACCCAGCTGTCAACCCACAGAGAAGGGGTTCCTTCCCACCTCTATAAAATGGGCAAAGAACCCAGGGAAACGAAGTGGATGCTTCAAGGTCACATATACAACCAGGAAATGCATAACAGGAACATCTAGCCCGGGATCCAGACCAACACCACCACCACTGGGACAGGTTGAAACAAGTAAGGGTTTAATCTTCTTACAGAACCAGATGCCAAAAGGGACAAGTACGCATGACAGTCAAGGCCTTTCCTTCACAATAACAAAGCAACTGCCCCAGATCCAGACATCACACCCACGTTCACAGCATGAAGATGGGTACAAGGCCACAAAATCTTCCCCAGGAGCCTCTCCATTGGCCTTGCTTATTTCACACTGACACACTGAGCAAGGGAGGCTGGGAAAGTGAGCAAAAGGACGGTCACGATGGGCTGGGAACCATCACCATCCGCCATCTGGGTCTGAGCACGCTGATACCCCAAACGAAATGGGATCTGTTTGCCAGGGGTCGGAGCAAGGAGCTGGCCACTGGTCAGCAATGACAGTCCCTGCCCCAGGCCCTGGGCTCTGTCCTTATTCCAGCTGGGCCCCCTCAGGGGTTGGAGATCCAGCTGAAGGAGCTCGGAATGGATGGCCCAGTGCTTGACCCCAGGGGAATGACAGAGACCAGAGCTGGGGGTGGAGGCCAGACCCCACCCCAGGGCCCATGTGATCCTCTGGAGGTTAGGAACCCTGAACCCCAACCCGCTTCAGGGGTTCTCTGTGCTTTTTCAGTTCAGCCACCCAAGGCCCATAGAAGCCCAGCCCCTGGGGCCTCTCAGGCCCTCCCCTGGTGCACTTGTTCTCTGGGCTGTCCAACCCACCTCCCAGAGGCCTAGGATGCCACGCCTTCACTGCCAGCCACCATCCAATCCTGGGTTGACCCACCACTCAGAGGCCTGGCCAGGGACTCCCCCACAAAAGGCGCTTGCCACAAGTCCCCAGGGCTGCCTGGGGAGACCAAGGACAACCAGAAGCCTCAGCCCAAATTTTGCCCCACTGTTCAGGGTTCATCTGGCCATCAGTTGTGGGCACCAAGGAGTATCTGGATAGAGGAGACAATGGAGGGAACGGAACCTGTGGAGAGACCAGAAATGGACAAGACGGTCATCCCGACTCGCACGCTCACTCCACGGGCTCCTAGGGGAGCCCATGTCACAGAGATGGTTTGGAACAGGATTTTTCCCCCTCAGCACCCTTACGATTTAGGGCTACATAAGTCTTTGTTGTGGGGTGCCCTATGCCTTGTCAAATGTTTACAGCACCCTAGGCCTCTTCCCATGAGAAGCCAGTAGAATCCTCCTGAGTCATCACCATCAAAAATGTCTCCAGACATTGCCAAATGTCCCCGGGAGGGGGGCGGGACTCATGGAAACCACCTGTTTAGAGAGAATCCAAAGGCCAGAGATGCCACGATGAGACCCCAGCTGAGGCCAGACTATCCAGTCACATGTATCTGAGTCCCCAGTCAGCTCCAGCCCTACAAGGCAGGAACCTTTGGATTCTAGAATCTTCAGGCTCAGAGAGAATTTCACATCTGCTCTTAAACCTCCTGATAGTCTAGCTATAGCTGTGCCCTTCCACTGATGAGGAGCTCACCCCATGAGAAGGCGGTTCCTTTCATCTGAGAAATGTGAATTTTTTTCCCTATACTGAGCCAAACTCTGTCTCCGTGTAATGTCTAACTTATTCAATGCAGCCCAGGCCGCAGGGCCCCTTAAACAGTCATGAGCCCTCTGCCCTCCCTACTGAAAAGGACCACTGAAGAGTATCAAAGAAACAGAGAGCCTACAAAAGCTCAAATAAAATTTTCCCATCAGGGCCTGAAGTTCTTCCCTTAGAACATCTCCTTTGCTCAGGGAAGACGCTTCAGTATTCCAGGAGCTCCTAAAGAATCCCAGAGGCCTGAGAGAGCCCTTCAGATCCACGACACCCAGCCTCCTTGTGCTCCAAATGGGGAGACTGAGGTCCAGAGAGAGCAAGGTATTCACCCAAGGTCACACAGCAATCCTGGGGGAGAGCAGAGACTGAAATCCACTCCCTGCACTCCCAGCTCTGTGCTGTCAGCCTCCAATGCCTTCCCTCCCTCCAGGTTCCCCTATGTTTGGACACCCAGACTCAGACCCCCAGCTCCGATCCTATAGTTTGAGCCCCTAGACTCACCTGGAAGGGTCCTCCTCGGGGGAGAAGGGGCCTTGTAGCTTAATGACATTGAGCTTCCCCTCAAAGACACCATAGCTGAGGGTGACCTGGGCAGAGAAAAGCAGAGAAGAAAATGAAGATTGGTGGGGTGTCCCACAGAGAACACCACAAGGGGGCAGTATTGGGGCAGAAGCAGGGAAAGCCCATAAGGCACTCTGAGGGGCGCAGAGAGCCTGCCTCTGCCCCTAACGTCCCACCTTTAGCACTCACTGAGGAGCCACCCCACTCTGCAGGAACTTCAAGCTTGTGGGGCCCTATCCCTAATTTGCATCCCCAGCAGTGGCCCTACGGAGAGGCTGGAAAAAATCCCTTGCCTACAGACTAGGAAACTGAGTCTCAAGAGGGGAAAGCACCCTTCCAGTAAATTCCATGCCTGGACAGCGGTTTCTTGAGACTCACTGTGGGGCCTTAGCACTCTGTCTCCTCCTGGACCCTTGGGATACTCCACACGCAATGAGGACATGGGCTAATGCCCCTTGTCGAGAAGCAGTCGACCACAGTGGTTAAAGCCTGTGGGCTTAGGGGCCACCCGGTCAGGGTTCAAATCCCCCACTGCCTAATGTTAACTGTGCCATGGTTAGTTCTGCTCTCTGGGCCTCAGTTTTTCCACCTACAGAATGGGAATGTTAGAGCTCCCCTCACACAAATGTTGGAAGGAAGCAGAGTTAAAGCAGATAAAGCCACGCACGGTGTCTGGCGTGGCGGGTATTCTAGAAATCCCTGCCATTAGGGTACCTGGTTTGGGCTGCCCAAAGTCTGCGCCCCTTTCCTGGCTTCAGCCCATCCGGTCTTACCGAGGCCAGCACTACAGCCCAGGTCCAGGCCTGGTGAATCCACACTAACTCCTGGCTCTGGGAGGGGATGGGTTGTGTGACACAAGCCGGCCTTCCACGAACACCAGCTCAGGCCTTCAGACCACTGAGCACCAGCCCTGGGATGTGGTGGAAGGAGGAGTGCTCTTCCTCGGGGTGGGGTGGAAACGTAGAGCTGCCATCTTGCCCCCCGAGGAGCGAGCCTCCCTCAGGGTGAGCCCAATGTCAGGGAAGACAGGCCAGAGTGGGGACAGTCTGGGCACACAGACTCAGCCAGAACTAGCAAGCAGCACCCAGCTTCCCAGGCCCATGAGCCCTTACATGTCCAACATACGGCCTGTGTTGCATTTGTGTCCCTCGCTACCAAAGGGTTCTGACTCACACTGTTGGGTGGCGGATCTCAGGGACCTTCCCAGCCAGGATCCCCTACAGGACTGGCCACCCAGAGGAGGACGGCCGCGGGCGCAAGACAGAGGCAGCTGGAACTCCGTAGAGCCGTTGCTTGCCAGGTGGTGGAATGGGGTCCCCCCCCAGCCAGACATTATGCCTGAGGTTTCCCACTAAGCACCTGCTCTCTCCCAGCAACATCTGGGTTAGAACAAAAGCAGGGGGGCAGCGGGCAGGTAAGCTCTGATGAAGGTGGGACAGCCAACAGGCAGAGTTGGAAAGGGCATGCCTGACCCCTTTGGAGGGATGCTGGGGGATGGAAAAGGGACAGGAGGGAGTGGAGAAGGCAGGAAGGGGAGCAGTTTGAACCTGAAGGTAAGCTCACGTGGTCCGTGTAGGTCGTTGCAGCTGGCACTGGGGACCAGACCAAGGAATTTGAGCATCATAAACGCTAACCCTTGAGGGCTGGTGGTGGAGAGGGCTGAGTCACGTGGGTCCATCTGAGGGTGTTTCCCACCTTGGGCCTCAGTTTCCCCCTCAGTAAGGAATACCTCCCCACACACATGCATCCCTCTCCTATCGCCCCAAGGCCAGTTCACCTGCTCTGGGAGCTGGGAAGCCCCCAGCAGCTGTAGGGTCTCCAAGTGGGAGTGGAAGAGGGGGCTGGGTTGCAGGCGGCCGCCTAGCTTGCACTCGACAATGTAGCCCACGGTGCAGTCGTCGGGCAACCGGATGAGGGCGGATGTTTCCACGAAGCGGGAGCCACTGAGAGAGAGAGCCGGGCACTGGTGAGTGGCACAGAGCTCACCCTGCCTCCCAGAAGGCCCTCCCTCCCAGGGAAAGATGGGTAGAGCAGAGCTCCAGCTCCAGCATCTGCATCCTGGGCACCAGGTGACTTCTGGCAAGCCACAAACCAGGGGAGCCTCAGCTTCCTCTTCTGCGAAATGGGTGTGATCATGGCCCTGCCCTCACTGGGCTATTGCGAAGTTCAAGGGGAAGAATGGCAAGAAGAAGCCTTTTATAAATGTATCCCTTCCTCTCTTTACATTCATTCACTCAGTCATTCATTGCTAAACTCCAGGAGCTACCTGTGTGCCAGGGACCGTGCTGGGGCTGCAGATACAGAGATGAGAAAGAAAAGGTTCCTGCCCTTGACAGTGGCCCCCATTCTGAAGGGAGACAGAGGAACACATCATTTCAGGGCAGGACTGGCTCTGAAGTCAGAGGAAAGCATGAGGCTTGGGAGACAGAGGGAGGGTAAGGTGGGCTTCCCAGAGGAGGCGGCACACTTTTGTCTTGCTTTTCATTTAATCATGGCAATGGCAGGCTTTAAACGGAGTCTTACAGAATGCACCAGAGTGAGCTAGATGTGGAGGAGGGAAGGGGCTGTGTCCCAGGGAAGGGCATCACCGGACTGCATACCCCATGAACACTCCTGGGGTCCGGGTTGGGCAGGCTGTCCTGCTGTATAGAATGCCTGACTGAGGGGCACAGTGGGTGCAGAAACCCAGCCTTCCCTTCTCATTCCAGGTTGTGCCCAAGGGCTGCACCTGCCCAAGGGGGGATACTTTTTCCAATTCACACAAATATACCATAAAAGTGGGCGGAAGCCCAGATGGGGGCACCAGGCCCAGGGAGGACCCCTGGTCACGTGTACACACCTGCTCTGGACATGCCCTATGACAGCATTACAGCTCCCAACTGGGGCCCGACATCCCCCCTGGAGGACCCCTCCCATCCAGGTTGGAACAGGCTGGAGTGGTGTAGTGGCAAAGCAGGCAGGCCTTGGAGTCAAAGCCAGCAGCTGAGTGACCTCAGACCTGGGTGACCTTGGACCATCACTTGCCCAACCTCTCAAGCTTCAGTCTCCTTAGCTGTGGAAACAAGACTGACAAGCAGTCAGTCTTGACGCCCTAGTGAAGTGCAGGTCCGGCTCAGAATGGGCCCCCAATATAAGGGAGCAATATGGATACTGTTGCTAATAACAACAGTTGCTAATAACAACAGCCTGTCCACGCAGCCCTCAAGAGGCCAGGTCTTTGCTACTTCCTCTCCAGAATACCAGTACCCTCATCCCATATTGGGGGCTTTGGCAACCCCCAGGATCCCCTTCGCTCGGGGACCTCTAGGGCTATCCCAGTTCAAAGGCCACCTCTTCCAGGAAGCCTTTCTCCTGGCCCCAAGCAGAAGGCCCTACTTCTTCCTTCCTCTGAACACCTCTACACTTGGCCTTCACCTCCCCTGTGACATGGGAGACTGGGTGCCAGCCCAATTGTTCACCCTCCTGCCAACCGTTAGCTATCATATTATCAGGTCCATTTTACAGATGGGGGCACTGAGGCTCGCAGGGATTACACAACTTGCCTGTGTGTGGCACAGTGCCCTGATGGCAGGATGGCAGGTGGCTTTCTCACCACTAACTGTGTAACTGTGACACAGCATGAATGAGAGGCAGGTTTCTCCTGAGCTCACTCTCAAGCCCTTCCTGCAGCAAAGGACCCTCCCATACACCAGGCCCTGCTCTCCACCACCCACCTGTGGGGCTTTGCTTACCTTGCCCACGGGGCCATCTTCAAAACCAGTTCGCGGTTGATGCAGAAGCCAGCACCCCCGGTGGCAAACCAGAACTGTACCAGCCTCTGGGGGGAGAGGTGGGGAGGGCCAAGGTGCAGGATGAGCCTGGGGGTGGGGGGCCACAGCTGGGCCCCCCTCCACTGGCAACCAGCATGACTCAAAACCTTTTTATTTCACCTTTCACTAAAGTCTTGCTACAGCTTGACATCATCATGCCCATTTTACAGACAAGAATACTGAGGCCCAAAGTCACATGGCTATTTAAGAGCGATGGAGTCACCAATTAGATGTAACCTATTTGTCCGCCGAGCACACCTTACCCCTTTCCCCAGAGGAATGCCCCCACCTCACCCCAAGTGGTTCAGGAGGGGCCATCAAATACAGCACCTGCTCCCCTGGGTCCCAGGAAGGGGGCAGGTGCCCCAGGAAGGGTAGATCGCAAGGCCACACCCCCTGACGCTGTGATTGGCCCAGTGACAGGCACATGACTTAGGCCAGCCAATCCAAGTTCTTCCCTGAGCTCCCTATGCTAGCTGGGAGGAAGAGACGCTTTCTACAGGGTCACCAGGCTTGGGAGCGGTACTCCTGAAATACCCCGTACCAAGCCACCTGCACTGGCCTCATCACTTCCAGCTCCAGGGACTGAGAAAGCTTTTCTGCACAAGGAGAGAATGAAGCTTCTCACGGAGTAAAGAGAGAAGGATGGGTAGGCCTATGAGCCCCCAAGGCCAGCAAACCCTTTGACATCTCAGTCTCAGGAACCCGTAACCTCCTTTGGGGTTTAAACCACTCTCTGCCCTGCTTCTCCAGGAGGCCTCGTGAAGTCACAACTCAAGAATTTCTCTAAGGCTCTGGCAAACTCTGGTCCCTTTCAGCTGTCCTATCTCTTGACCAAATTCCCTATGGTTACCTTCTCCCAAGTACACAGTTGGTGCTTAACTGATGCACATTGCATGGGGTTGGGTTATTTCCTATGATGCAGCAATGAGAAGAACCCGGGGCAGGAAGCTGGGAAGCCTGATTCTGTGGCCTCAGCCTCCTCCACTGCCCAGCTGTGTAACCAAGAGAAAGCCACCACTCCTCTCTGGGCCTCAGATTTGTCACCTTTGAGCACCCCTGCTCCAGTTCAGCCATCCCTGTGTCCTCCCCATAGGAGACCTCTATGAGCTGCTTCTGGAAATGCCGCCCTCTTGGACAGAGGTGTTCAGGCCTCTAAGCAGAATGAACAGGTTCTTAAGATCCTGACATACATTTGGTGCCCAATGAATGCTTGTTTAATGACCTATGGGTCCAGGGCTTCTCCTCCCAGATAATTAAAGGAACAACAGCAGTAACAGTAGACATGCCCAACCCTGAGCACTGACGTGCAGAGAAGGGAGGTCACCCGCCTGAGGTCCCACAGCTGGTACTGAGCCTGAGCCGGAAATCTTGCCCCCTTTTGCTATCTCCCCCCACACCACATAGCCTGGGGGGAACCCCAGAATCCAAACAGGCTAGGACACTTTGGGGCAGAGTCTAGGAATCCCGCCAGGGTGCATGGGTATTAGTGCCTATTGAGGGGTTGGGGCCTGGGTGTCCCCAGCAGGTACTGAACCTCCCCAAGAAGAAGGCCCCGAGATGAAGGCTGAGCTGGGTTGGGTTGGGTACTGACTGCTGATACTCACTAGTGTCATCACGTGCCAGATCCCATTCCAAGCACTTGGGTACGTGACCTCATTGAATTGTTCCCCTTTCTGCTCACAACAACCCTTTAGGTGGGGATGGTTATCATCCATTTTGCAGATGAGGAAACTAAGGCACAAAAGAGTGGGGTGACTTGAGCAAAGGTCGGGAAGCCAGGAGGTGGCAGAGCTGGTGTATGAAGCCAGGGAACCAGTCTCCAGAATGGCGTTCTCAACCCCTACAGCCAAGCATGTGGCGGTGTGGGGGCCTGGGGCACCCCTTGCTCACCGGGAGTCGACTTACACACACACCCGTAACCAGGGCCCAAGAGGATTTAATTAGAGCTCAGAGGCCGATTATCCGCTGATAATTAAGGTTGTGTGTTTCCTACTCTTGGTTTCCCTAACGAAGCAGATGGTGAGCAGGGGTGGTAGAGAGCCCCACTGCGGCCCAGCTCCTGCTCCACGTGCTGTCTCGAGAGAGGGGCACCCTCTGACTAGCCTTTTCCCTGGGGCCAAGGGAGCCCTCTAGGGGCCTGGGCCACACCAATGCCAGAAGCCTGGTGGGTCCTGGGGACCAGGAGAGAACCACGCTCCATACTTACACTACAAAATTCTTCCCTGTTCAGCTGAAAGTCCAATTTAACTGTTATCCTGATTTTTGGCTTGTTTCCTAAATCTCACAGCCCTCATTAGCGTCCATCTAGATCTGGAGCTGAAGCTGGTGCTGGGGACCCCATTGTGCCGGGTGTCACCTCTTTAGTTGCCAGTCAGTGAAGTCCGGACAAAGGAGGGGTACAGAGGGGCGGGGAGAGCTCAGGGGGTGGGGGGCAGCGCAATTTACCACAAGGCCCAACGGTATCCGGCATCTGAACAGTCTGTACAACTGCCTTACAATATCAGGGGCTGGGAGCCCTGTCATGGAGCCGGAGCCTCAGCTCACCATCCCCACCCCCCCACCCCACCCCAACCCCACCCCCACATCCCTGTCACTGTGTGACCAGAAGGAGCCGCTGCTCCTCAGTGACTGAGGCCCTACAGTATGCCAGAGTCTGCGCCTCACCGGTAACATCTCAGTCTCCCCATTTCACAGAGAAGACAGGATAGGTGGTGAAGTCAGCAACCCAAACACAGCGAGGAGACCAAATAGGAAAGCCAGAAAACCCACCTGGCTCCGCCCCCACACGGCCCCACCCCACATGGCCCCGCCCCACACGGCCCCGCCCCACACGGCCCCGCCCCACATGGCTCCGCCCCACATGGCTCCGCCCCATATGGCCCCGCCCCCGGTGTCCCCGCCCCCATATGGCTCTGCCCATGGTCAACGCATGAAGGAGGAAGGAGGAAGGAAGGGAGCAAGGGACCCACCGTGCGGTTGTGGGGCCTGGGCTCAGAAGCTCGGATAGGCCGGTTCAGGCTGGGCCGGCCTATGTAGACGTCGCGAGTCTGTGGGAAGGCTTTCAGCAGCTTCAGCAGTGCCCTTGGGTTCACGTAGTTGTCATCATCCACGTGGCAGAACCACCTGTGGGGACAGAAAGGGGATGGGAAGCTTGGAGGAGGGTTCCCAAGGGCTGAGGGCTAGCCAGACTCCCCCTGTCCCCCCCCGTAAGTCAGTCAGCAAAATTAGGCAGGGAGAGAGTAGCTAACACCGAAGGCCCATGCCTTATGTGAGCTCCTGAGGAAAGCGTGCCCGCTTAACAGGTGGTGACAGAGGCTCAGAAAGGTTTAGACACCTGCCCAAGGTCACACAGTCTGTAAATGGCAAGATTTGAACCCAGACCGTCTGCCCAGAGACAGACCCCAGAAGGCCCTTACATGCTTAAATTCATAGGACCCAGCTGACTTCACTTTTTTGTCACAACACCTATTCAGGAACTAGACTGAGGCAAAGGTCACACTTGCCCTCAGAGACCCAGGTGCACTCACCGCAGCCTGCTGGCCAAGAAGGTGTCAAACTCAGCAGCCATCTTGCAGGACAGGGCGGGGTGACTGTGCTCAGCAGAGCAGTTGGTGACCACGAGGTGGGACCCTGAAAAGTGGGGACAAGTCAGGGGACCCTGCCCAGGTCCTCCCTGCAGCCCTGCCCACCGTGAGAATGAAGAGCAAGACCCCACCCATTCTCATTTTACACATGGGGAAACAGACGCCAGGGAGGGCTGACTCTCCCAGGACCCCAGAGCTAATGAATGGGAGGCTAGGCTGGGACCCAAGTGTCCAGGGTACTGTCCAGGACAGCTGCTCCTCATGCCACACCCACTTCCAGGAAAGAAGCCTGCTCCCCTCCCGACATGGCAAAGGAGGGCAGCCCTGTTTCCTGGGGACCCGGGACCAGGGGACAGCCACACCAGCTTTCCCTAGAAACAACTGAGGAGTCTCCACCCCCATCTGGAGTTACCCAGTCTCTCCTGGAGGCCTTCATCTGGGCTGTCAGTGAAGACAAACGTCTAAGAAGGAGAAAGAAGGAGGAGTCAGGACCCGAGTCGGCCAAGGGCAGCCCACAGCCACGCCCTTGCTAAAACACGGGTCCAGAGCTGTGGCCTCCATCAGTGACAGACACACAACCCCAACGTCATCACTGACTCCTTTCAGACACTATGACTTTCTCAGCTACCCCCACAAGACACACAACACAGCCTCCCAGCACGCACCACCCACTGTGTCACCTGCACGAGCACCCTTATAGACCAGCGCCCATGGAGACCCTCCCAGAGCCACACCGTCCTCTATCCCACACACATACACACACTGCAGTCCCACTTGGCCCCTCCATCACCACACTTACACAACCCAAGACACTTTGTCAGGAGACAGACTTTACGTGGGAAGACCCACGCCCTGGGGCACCACACCAGCCTGGGGAGTCAGTCGTGTCTCTCCATAGCCACATCGGCTGCCCCAGGGCAGGTGCGGGGTCCTTACACATCTCAGAAGTTTTACATCGCAATCCAACCCCAGCTCTGATGACCTCCCTGAACCTCGAGCCAGGTGATCTGTTCCCCTCACAGAGGGCAATGCTCTTCCCCTCACAAGATGGCTAAGGGACAGACTATGGTTGTACAGTTGGAAACTGGTGAGTTGGGATTCAGACCCACAGGTCTTGGAACACCCCCAACCCTGGGCAGGGAGAGGCCGCTCAGGCCCTAGATAAATTGAACACAAACTGAACGAGAGACAAATTAGAGGTCGCTTGGGGCCAGACGGAACGCAGCTGGGGACCCATCTAACCCCCATTCCACGCCCTGCCCAGTACATGTCCCTTTCCCTGCCTGAGCAGGTCCTCTCATCTGCCAAGCACAGCAAGAGCCTCCTCTGACCCATAGGGGGCCCTGCCCAGACCCTGGACAATTTTGAATTCTTTCCAAGGGAGGACCAAGGAAAAAGCATCCCACCTGTTGAAAGGCCCTCCGCCCCCCCGGGGCTGGCCCTGTCCTCCTTCCAGACTCAGGGCCTCCAACTGCATGCCCCTCCCTGCTCAGCCACAAACTTCTCCCTGGTTTCCAGGAACCAGCTCTTCAGATCAGATTGAACCCTGCCTTGAGCCTCAGTTTACCTGGCTGGAAAATGGGGACTAGGGGTAGCTGTGATGGTAAAGTGAGATGATGTGAGAAAGGAGAAGAAAGAGGTGGCAGTGAAGCCAGGCTCCGCTTCCTATCTTGAGGGAAACTGAGGCATCGGTGGCCAGAAGCCAGGGTTGGGCACAGGAAGGGGCACAAAGGAAGAAGTCCTGTCTCCCCAGGGCCTATAACCATGGGCCTTCTGAGCTACTTACTATCTTCCAATGGATTCGTGCAAGATCTTCAGATCTGTTCTCTTGTTGGCACCAAAACCAGATAATACCCATATTCACCACCCGCCTAGTGCCTTCTGTGTCTCCTACTGCCCTTGGGATAAAGGCCACCTCCTAAGTGTGGCCATGAGGGTCCACCCAGCCCCTGGGCCTGATGCAGCCTATCTTGCCACTTCCTGCCCCACCCCTCTTTTAAACCCAAAGGTTTTTCAGTTCCCCAAATGTGCCACACACATGCACACTCCTCTGAGCCTTTGCTCATGCTGTGCCCGTTTCTTGTCCCCTAAGTCCTAGTTCAGTCGCCGCTTCCTCCAGGAAGCCTTCCCTGACACCCCTCCCATGTGTCCCTCAGCCACCTGTTCTTCCTGATGGTAAGTAACAGCAGCCCCTCAGTTACAGAAATCTGTCCTTTGGACTCTCCCACAGTGAGAGAGACAGTGACATCCTGAAGGGCACAGGCCTGGTCTGCTTTATCTCCCTGTGCCAGTACCCAGCTCACCTCCGAGAGGCCTGGGCAGCACCCACCTCCTCAGTAGCCCCTCCCTGGGATGTGTCTCCTGCCTTCAGATTTAGAGAACACTGGAGGTCCTCGGATATCCCTGGAGAAAGTGCTGGCGGCCCGACACTGGCCCTCTTCTTTGTCCCATCCACTGCCTCAGCAACGCTATCCTGCCTCTCAGCATTCAGCCCCATCAAGAAGACATCAAACCCCACGGCAACCACAGTTTCTCCCTGGGTGCCTCAGATTCAGTGGCCCAGCTCCCCCCAGACCTGTGCCCCTCTGGGTGCTCCCCATCTTGCTGGGTCCCAGCACCTTGGGGTCACCATGCCTCCTCTCTTCCTCACCCAGGATGCCAGCTCTCCACAGCAGCGAGCATGGCCAGCGGTGGCCCAGCCCCTCCATGGTCCTCTCCTGCCGGCTTTGCTGCTGTCACCTTTGCCCTGGTCTCCCAACTCTGTCCTGCCCTCACCCCAAGTCTGTTTTCAACACAACCCCCCGGGGAGCCAAGGAAAGAAATCAGGCCTTTCTTGCCCTGCTCCCTGGCAAACTTTTGCCACCAAACAGCCGTCAGACGTTGGAACTCTCTGGAGTTTGGAGCACGGGCCAAATGGGTCAGGGCATACTTGCTGATGGATGAATGAGCCCGAATCAGTGGGGAAGTGGGGGGTTCCTGCAGCAGGGCTGGGGGCTGGGCGGGGCGCGTGAGGCTGGCGTTCCAGTCCCCGGGAACCCTGAGATTGGCACAGAGCAGTGGGCAGAGTTTCCTCTGAGCCAAGGGTTGCATTTAATTTGTTTGAGGAGACTCTGACAATGGTTAAAACCTCACAGGAAAACAAAAGGCCAGGCAGCCCGCTGGGGTCAGAGGAGGGGGGCTGGGGGCCATCTGCTGGAAGATGTGAGGCAGGCACTGCGGTCCCACCCCCAACCCACTGCACTCGAGGGGTCTGCAGGGGAGGGAAAGTTCTCCCCACTGATCACAAAACGGGCCTCCCCCAGCCCGCCCCCTCTGCCTGGGACAAAGGCCACACGAGCCCCAGCCTGCCGCAACAAAGGCCCACCTGCCACCCGCCTGCCCTTAACCAGCTGGGGCGGGCGCCCAGCCCTGGAGTTAACCAGCTCAGGCCCGCTCCTGATGGCAGAGCTAAGAGAGGCTCTGAGACCCTCCTGTCCCGTGCAGATGGGGAAACTGAGGGCTGAAAAGGGGAGGGCCTCGGCCAAGGTCGCAGAGAGAGATGAGCCAAAGGATAGAGACAAAGGGGCCCCAGACGAGGTGTGGTGCGGTAAGAATGTGTCTTCCCTGTCTCCCTTCCTCTTCCTCAATGCAAGCATCCTTCCTGTTCTCAACTCTGCATAAAGGACAAGTTTTCTAGACTCTGTCCCTTTGTGCTGGGGTGGGGGTTGTGCAACTGAGTGAATTCATCTCCTACCTCAATCCCTCCCTCTCGTGGCTGTCGTGGGGGTGAAAGGGAGCGAGGCATCTGATGGGCAGCCCCTGGGGTACTGAACCGCTGACAGCTCCTCCCACTGCCTGCCTAGCTGGCATGTGGGATTGAGCTCGAGACACAGAATGGGTGGCTGCTTCCTCTCCTTTGCTGACCTGGTCCTGCCAGGGTCACCCAGGCTGGGGGCCCAAGGACCCTCTCCTGTAAGCCGAGTGATGAGGCAGCTCCAGGATCCTGGGTCTCAGCAGAGAAAGAAGGGTCCCAGCCGGGAGGAGGGGGCTGGCTTCCCCTGGGCTCTGCGCCACTAGGCCTTTCGCATGACGCTGACAAGCACTTCCCCTCTCTGGCCTCAGTTTCCTCATCCGGGGCAAGGGCACCACCATGGTGATCAAGACAAGGCAGGAAGGGGCCTCAGATCACGTGAGGCAGGCTCCCGGGTACACAGACACAGCACCATAAACAGGAAGGTCTGCGGGGAGGGCCAGACTCGGCGGCTTCCGCAGGAGGAACCGGAATCTCCCCCAAGATGAGAAGCAGCGCGGGGGCCCCAGGGAAGAACCTGGGTGCTGGCGTCCCACTGGAGGAAGGGTTAGATAGGGTGCTAGAACATCATGGTCAGGAAATCGGGGGTGGGGTGCCCTCGTCCCAGAAGGCCCTGGGCTCCTATAGACATCACCTTCCCTACTCCTTGGTCTCCCAGGAGCCCCCAGTCCCCTCCAAAGGCCTAGTCACTTCCTCCCACTGAGCCAGTCACCCGTAGTAGTGTGTGTGTAAAGCTCTGTGTGTGTGTAAAGCCTTCACCTTCCCCAGAGATGGTTCCCTAAATCACTGACTTGGCTTGGGGAGGGCACGGGGTCTGGGGAGGGCAAGAGCCAGAGGGACTCAGCTTGTCCCCAGAAAGACACAAGTCACGCACCCCTGTCATCCACACACGTCTTGTCATGGCCCATCTAAGGCGGATACCGGGCTCCATGCAGAGGCACATGCACACACACACACGCATGCACACACACACACACACATACTCACATGCTGGGCACACCTCTAACCTCTCCCCGCCATTGCTCCCTCGCTTGCCCACCCCCTCAGAGCGGACCTCCTCGCTCCGTCCCAAACTGCCCCACAGGAAAGGAGCACAGGAGATGAGGCGCAGCTGCGCTGGGCACGCCCTGGGGCCCAGGGCTGTCAGGAATTCTGAAAGGATGCCCCCCCCGCCCCGCCCCTCTCCGCCCAAAAGGCGACCCCCAGACCTTCCCCTCCTCAGCGGCTCAGTGCCTGTTCCCCGCACCCCAGCACAGCCAGAGCCGCCGGGGCCTGCACTGGGGACAGCCTGGCCTGGGCACACATCAGAGTCAGGACCTCACAGAGGTCTCTACCCCAGCCTCCCGGAATCTCCTGCTGGCCCCATCGCCAGGCTGGGCTAAGGTGGGCAGGAGCAAACCGGTGCTAGAACAGCCAGGGACGAGAGGGACCCCCAGGAGTCTGGGGCAGGGCCCGGGCTGGCCCCTGAAAGATAGGGAGCAGGGGTCCTGAGGAGAACCTGGCTCCAGGGCCAGCGAGGGGCACAGGCAGGACGGCAGGATTCCCTGATCCCAGGAGGAGAGAGAAATGGGAAGACAAGCGCAGATAGGGCAGGTGGGCAGGTGGCTTCTCCCTGGAGGCCACCAGGGACCCCAGCCCAAAAGAAAGGCCTCCAGGCATCCCTCAGGCCAGGGCCCACTCCTGGGGCCCAGAGTTGCCCACTTGTCACCTGTTCCCTGGTCCTGGAGACCCACGTGTCGAGCAGCAGCTCCAGGCGGGAGCGGTGGAAGGCTCGGGTCGTCTTGACTGCAATGAAGACATCGTGCAGCTGCAGCTCATGGGGCAGAGGGCTTGGCGGGCACAGCCTGGGGGTCTCCTGCACGCCCTGTGGGGACAGGCTCGAGTGGTACCGTAGGGAGAGGAGCCCCATGCACAGAAGGGTGAGGAGGGCTCCCGCCAGGCCCCGGAGGAGGCGGCACTGCATTGGCCCTGGGACCCCAGACAGCTCAGCCCCCGAATCCCCGCCGGACAGGGAGGTGAGGCTGGTTCGTCGGGGGCCCCGGCCAAGGCAAAAGTCTGGTAGGCATGGGGGGCAGGCGAGGAGGGGAGAGGTGGGGACTAGTGCTCTGGCCCCGGAGGCCAAGCCCCGGCGGCCCCGCCGCCGCCGCCGGCCCTCCCCACCTGCTCCCGACGAGCTCCCGCCCGGCTTTGGGACGCCTGGCCCCGCCCCTGCCTCCCGCGCAGCCCGAGGGGCGGGGCCGGCCCCGGGGAGCCCCAGAGGTGGCCAGAGAAGGCTCCGCTGAAGGGACAGCCCCAGGCCCGGCCGCCGGCCAGCTGCTGCAGTGGGGGTGGGGACAACAAACCCTCCGTGCCCCATGGAAGGGAGGGGCCTTCCAGCCTCCCCACTCCCCAGAGGCTGTCGCTTAGCTCGTTCAACACGCATTGTTTTTTGGTGTCCTGCTCTCCAGCCTCTCAGCTTTTGCTCACACTGTACCTCCTCCTGGATGCCCTCCCCCATCCTCCCCATTGTCACCCGTGTTCCTTTCACCCAGCATCATACTTTTTGGACGTTAAGGCTCAGCTCAAGGGTTCCCGCCTCTAGAAAGCCTTCCCTGATGCCCCCCTCCCAACCTCCAGGGCACCCACAGTAGTTGGCTCTGCTCCTTGGCTCTTGACAACAGCTCGAGCATTGCTAGTCCCAATCGAGAGCTGAGCACATAAGGCACGGAACGATCAAAGATGACCCAGCAGCTCAGCCACAGAGCCAGTGGAACCCAGGTCTCTGGGCCTCCCCTGGCCCACAGGAAACTCCAGGGAGTGCCTGTCCTGCTGTGGCTCACCACCCCCCATCTCACTCAGCAGTCTTTATTGCTGCCTCTCTCCCAGCCAGGTGGGGACAGAGGGCATTCTCCAGCCAGCGCCTCCATCTGGTTGGATACAAGGCCACTCACATCTCATCCTTCCTCTGTTAGAACCCTGCATCTCTCATCTCCCTCAGAACAAAAGCTCAAGATCATACAGCAGCCAACAGGTCCTGTGTGAACTGGCTCCCCGTTCCCTCCAACCCCTCCTCCTACTACTCTTCCCTTGCTTCCTCCGCTCCAGACCCACTGGACTTCTGGTTAGTCCAGGCACATACCCACCTCAGGACCTTTGCAAATGCTGTTCCTGCCTGGGCCTTTCCCTAGAAGTTTGCACATCTCAGTCCCTCACCTCCTTCAGATCTACATAAATATGTTCTCCATAAGGACTTCCCAGGCCACTTTTTAAAAATTGCAGTATCTTCTCCCCACTCCTCCCTAGCCGCCCCCCCCGCCCCCAGGCCTGCCCCTTTTTCTGCTATGTTCTCTCCACAGCACTTTTTATCTTCCAATACACTGTATATTTCACTTGTCTATTGTCTGTCTTTCTCACGTGTATATCAGGTCAGGAAGGGTCTTTTTATTCACTGAATCCCCACTGCCTAAGCACATAATAGGAGCTCAAGAAATATTCATTAAACATAAGAAAGTACCAAAAACACAAGAAGATACCAGATGGCTGGTGGATTGCACTGGGCCTTCCATGGTCCAAGCCTGCACTAGGTCTGCGGAGGGAGAGGAAAGAAGAACCAACCCTTTTGAATCACCTTCCTGTGGGCCAACCCCATGCCAAGCCCATTCATGGCCCACCCTCTCAGAATGGCATATCCGAGAGCTGATCCTAGGATTCATGCCACACGGACCAGGGTTCAAATACTGACTGGGCTACTTACTAGCTGTGTGGCTTTGGGCAAGTTACTTTACCTTTCTGAATTTTAATTTCACCATTCGACAAATGGAGACAAACTTAAGACTTGGTGAGGATTAAGGGGTTGAGGGCTTCCCAGTAAAAGCATACCTACCATGGGACCAGACAAAGGCAGCTGCCTCACTGATGTCCCACAATGTTACCCAGACTCATAGGTCCATAGACCAAGCACTTCTCCAAGCACATAGCGAGAAAGTGGGGAGGTTCATTTACCCAAATGGGCATTACCCGGTCTCCACACCCAGGGGGCCCACAGCCACCTTCAGAGATCCACCATCCTGCCACAAGGCAGCCCATGGCATGGCTAAGAAGTCCCAAGGTCTGGCAGAATCAAGCAGGCTTCATGGAGATGGTATCTGAGCCAGACCTCAAGACACTAAGATATAGGCAGCCCCCACCCCTGAACTTGGACTTCCCAGCCTCATCTCCTACCACTCCCCAGGGGGCCAAATTCAACCCATTTTCTGTCTCTGAGGCTTCACTCTGGGGATTCCCTCCACCTAGTAACCCACTCTCCCAAAACCTGCACAGGCTGACCCAAGTTCATCACTGTGACTGAGGGCAGTAGAGGATGACGAGGACAGCACTTAGGCACATCGGCCCAATAAACACTTCTTGAAGGAATCCCAGACCCTGAGCTGAAGCAGCAGCCCCGTAGTAATCCTGTTTGCACTGTCCTCTCGCTAGCAGAACAGTCTTAGGACCTGACTATGCACAGACGGTTTGCTCTGGGTCTCCTGGACTTGGTAACCGGGCGCTTTAAGCCAAGACCATACCCTGCTAGCCTCAGTGTCCCCTCTCCATGGGACGCTCCTTTGATGATCAGACACAGGCACAGCTGAGCGTGGAGGTGGCCCATCTGTGGTGCCCTTTTTCGGTCATTCGGGGGCAGGTAAGGTAATGCCAGCAGATGGCGGGCGGCTCTGGGATGAACCAGGTACGAAATCTGACCCTTCCCATGGGTAATCAGGGGGATGGGGGAGCCTGAGAGGTGGTATCAGCCTGATCTGGGGGTGGGGACAAGTCGGGGGAGTGGAGAGGGGGCCCTGCAACAGGGAGGTAGGCAAGCAAAAAGCCACCAGCTTCTATAACAAACTGTTTAATGTTCCATAATGTGCATATTCTGAGTGAAAAGGGCCCGTTAAAAATCTACAGGCCATACATTCTGGTGATGGAGCAGCCACCTTCTCCCTGCTGTCCCTCTGAGAGGCGGGTCACCGCAAAGAGATGGCGCTGAGAGAAGATGGTCCTCGGCGTGCTCCCAGGAACACACGACGGTTAGTGCCCAAGGTCACAGGCCGGGGTCTGACATTTACACAGGAGAGAACCACAGATACACAGGAGACGAGAAGACGTGAGGGGCACGGTGGGCCAGGGAGGCCACGGTGCCCACGTGTGGAGGTATACATAAGGAATGTGAGTGGGGTCGGGGGGGGCAGGGGCTTGTGGGACAGGCTTGGGGTTCCTCGGACAGAAGGGAACGAGAACCCAGAAGACCTCAGGTGCCTGCCGTGAGAACCTGGGTGTGTAAACCAGTGCACAGGAGTGAGAGCTCAGATGCTCCTGGGGGGCAAGAAGGACAAGGACACAGACGTGCGCGTGAGACCCACGAGTGGCATCACGGAGACACGGGGGGCGCACAGAAGGCCCAGAGCAGCAAGTACAGGGGTGGTGGGAGCTCTACCCCAACGGCTCCTGGAAATTGGCTCCAGATCGGGGAGAGCCCAGAGCCAGGAGCCCCATGTCTGGGAGTCCAAGGGTCTAGTTAGGCTCAGGATGGGGAGGACCCAGCTCCACTGCAGACTCCTGGGGCCCCGTCGGGGGCTTCGCAGGCGTGTGAGGAAGCCGTAGGCATCACAAGGGGCCCCTCAGGCTTCGCTGCTGCCGCCCCCGCCGCCGCCACTGCCGCGCTCCACCCACACGAGCCGGGCCTGCTCCTGCAGGATGCGGCCGCGCACCACCTTGGCCAGCTCCTCAGAGTGTCCCCACGCGTGCGCTGGCACCTGCACCCAGGAGCAGGGCAGCCCCCACAGCACCTGCTCCGAGCGATGGCACTGCCGCAGCAGCTCCGAGTCCCGGCAGCCAGGCCGGCCCAGCAGACCCCTGCCGAGAGAGCGGGTGGGCAGTGGTCAGAGCTGGGGACAAGGACGGCCGGGGACGCAGAGACACACCAGAGTGTGGAGAGCCAGAGAGAAGATGGACAGAGGCAGGGAGACACAGAGAGACACAGACATCCAAAGAGGAGGAAAAGGCTGGTCCTACCCACCCCCAGCCTTCCTTACCTGACTTCCCGGACATTCTTCTCTGTCACCTCCACGTGGATGACAATGGGGTAGATCTCGTTCTGGACCAGCTCCCGCACGCCCCGTGCGCCCAGCTCCAGCAGGCAGTGCTTCTTCTCCGGAGACCAAGGCTATATTTTACTCCAGCCCAGAGACTCGAACCTCCCTGCCCCCACTGGGCCCCTGGGGCACAGCCCCCCATGGGGGCCCCCGTCCCTCTCCAGAAGGGCCTTGGCAATAAGGAAAGACCCAGAAGGGAAGGCGAGAGGCCTGGAGAAGTCAGTCTCACCCCTGCTCCGGACCTCACCCTTGCCATCAGTGGGATGGAGTGAACCCCACCACCACCCCCATGCCTGGCAGCCCCTGGCCAGCCCCCCAGGTAGCAGTGAATCTGAGACAGGACAGACAGGGGAGATGGACCAGCCAAACACCTCGAGGCTGACCCATGTGTGACCAGCCCAGCCGTCCTGTTCGCAGGTGAGGCAACAGGCCCGTGGAAGGGCAGGGAGCAGCACAGGCCTGTGCTCAGACTCTAGCCTCCCAGCCCAGAGAGGCAGCCCCCCACCCCAGCACCTACCTTCCCGACAGACTCCTGGATGGCACGGAGCCTGCTGCCCAGCCTGGGGGTGGCAGGCTGGGCCTTGGGGGCTCCAGGTGCTGCGGATGAGCACTGTTCCTCCCCAGAGAGGCTTTCTGCAGAGCAGCAAGAGGCAGGGAGGAGGGGCCAGTGGGCCAGGCTGCCCTGGGGTGTTGCCCAGCCCTGCCCTGCCCTCCCCACCCCTGCCCAGGCACAGGCTCACCTGCCGGGCACACTTGGAAGTCCAGCCGGGAGTTGGGCAGGTCGAGCAGGTCACGGATAAGCCGGGACGCCAGGCACTCAGGCAGCAGCACCACGGGCCGCAGGGCAGATACCAGCAGTGGCCGCACCAGGCTGTAGGGTCTGAGGCTTCGCTCAGGCTCTGCAGTGGGGTGGGGTACGGAAGAGATGAGGCTGCCCACAGGGTCCCTAGCTCCTCCTTCCGAGGGCGGCCAGCACCCCCATACCCAAAACCCCATCACCTCTTCTTTCCCTTCCTGAGTCCTGCTGCTGCTCCTCGTACGTGTGTGCGCATATGCACACACACACACACACACACACACACA